AGATATATTTTGTATCTATTACACAAGCAGGAGAGTCAAAAAAAGTCACAATAGCAACTATCTCAGCCGGGAGAGGGGTTGACATCAAACTTTCAAAACAATCTTTATCATCGGGCGGTCTTCATGTAATTATTCCTTTTCAAATGGCAAACCAGAGAGCCTTAGAACAAGCTGCTGTAAGATCTGGACGACAGGGGCAGCACGGAACCGTTAACATATACCTTACGGACAAAGATTTGTTTTACAAGATTCCCGAATTTGAAGTTGGCAATGACAACTTGGCCAATCTTGAATTGCATTTCTCTGAATATCTCAGAACAAATTTCAGATGGATTTATAACAAAAAAAACAAATATGGTTTAGGAAAAAAACAAGTTTCCATTTGGTGTGACGGTCCCAATCGTTTTAGATATCTTTGCGAATTAACTCTCTTAAATTCAAAATTCCGAAGAGTTCCAGGACATCGCTTTGGAGATGGTCCAAACGGCTTGGAGCGTTTTTTAAGTCGACTTGAGAATTCCATCAAAAGTGTTCAAACATAGTTTTTTATCAATCAGAGTACATCAACTTTTTTCTTGAACTGAGTGTGTGACTCCCTCTTTAGAGTACAGATCTTGTGAAAAGCCCATACCCATATATTCGGCAAGTTAGTTAAAAATTATATTGGGGTGAAATTGTAATTATCAGAGGTATCAAAACTACCTCCCCAACACATAAATTCAAAAACATTTTAAAAAAAATCAAATTATGTTATAAACCACCATACTTAGGTTAAAGTCAACTTAGAGAAAGTTCAATTGAATTTTTTAAATAAGCTGAAAATCAAATTTATTGTAAATAAGAATTTTAATAAACAAAGAGATTAGTTGAAATTTAATTTAAAAGTAATATTTTGAGAATTATTATTTAAAAATAAATTCATTTTAAAAAAATTCAATTTAAACAAATTGTTTATTTATTGTCGTACGTTAGTGTGGTAATAAATTTATTGTGTGAGTTAATTAATTAACTAAAATGTTAATGTTCAAATATTAACACTTTTTAACTACAAAATATATTTTATGTTTGTCAATTTACATTTAATCAATTAAATGTGATGTAAAGATAACTCGGATTGTTCAATTTATAAATAGAGATATAATACCGACATTTGTTTAGTTGTTCCTGTTGTTTTTATAAATATTTTTTTTAATTATGACAAATAATAAAAAAGTTATTATTTGTCATAATGTTTATTATATACAACAAAGGCTTTTTAAAACAAATGTAAAAGGGTCAAAAAATTAATTCAAATGGTTTTTAGTTTGTTAAAAATATATGATATCAATAATAAGAATTTTATAAAAAATTTTCAATATTTCTTATTTTTTAAATACCAGTTAAATATTAATAAAAAAATAAAATAACACCAAAACGTTATTTCAATGTTAATATAAAAAATGCTTTTGTAAATCGATAAGAATTATAGTAAACATATTGAAAATCATTAAACATACTCCAATTAATTAAATCATAAAATCAACATTGTGTTTTATTTAAATTAAACTGTTTATTTATAATATTTTATGTAAAAATTTGACTGTTATTTAAACGGTTTGAATAAAAATATATAAATATAAAAACTATACATAATAACATTGTTTGTAAATTTGAAAAAATTAAAAGTACGATAATAATTAAACGTTGTTTAGAGTTAGTTTTTGAATAGTGAATACAGACAATTTGTGCGCATTCAATGCATAATAAACCCTCAAAAAATCAAAAAAGCATAAAAGATCCAATGTGTTTGTATTTCAACGTTGTATTAATAACTTATCGTATTTTTTATCGTAAAGAAACACAATCATTAAAAAATAACGAACAATTTAATATTTAAACACAAATTTCATATTCAATCACAATGATATGTAAGGTTGTTTTTTCTACTTTATTTAACGACATATAATTCAATTCAATATAACAATATATAATCAAACAGATGCCGGCTTGGATTCAAGTCGGCAAAAGACCCCTGTGTCCGTGTCCCCCAGTCCCCGTCCCCGAATCCCCCCGTCCCCCGTCCCGAGTCTGAATGGTGCAAACAGTTGGTTGTCAAGATATCCCAATGTTGGTTGATGGGCTCACAGCAGTCAGAATAATGCAAGAAGATGGAGAAGCGTCAAATCTCGGGTTAAATTAACAACAAATCAAAGTACTACTTCTTGGAGATCAACAAAGAAATTGCCAAACTTGCTGCACTGGCATTGGGAAAACAACCAAAATGGAATTAAACCAGAGTGAAACAAATTTCGCTCATTCCCACCTACATGTCAGGAGTATTCTTTGCACATAACGACAACATGAAGTGTTTGAAGAAGTTGAGTGGAAAACAACAGTGTGTTTGGGGGGAAAGATGTCTTCTGTCGACTCTTTTAAAAAGTTGTTAAGCAGTTTGTGGGAATTAAAATACATTGCTCTTCTCTTGTACGACAGACAAGTTTGGCGAATTTGTAAAAGAGAAGGTGGAAATGAGACTGAAGTCAATTTCTATGTTGCTGCCAACTAACAGATGTATGAGCCCAAGATACAATTTGGAAATAAAATAGTACTCCTTTTGGTGTCACTCCCACTCGATAACAAAAACTTGAAAATGTAATTTAATTACGATTAAAAGAAGACTTGAGACAGCAAAGAACTCAATGGAGGCGTTTATTTATTGTGTCGTTCAGAGTGTCATTGGGATATTCTTCAATTGAATACAAGCTTTGGGAATCATAATTGTTGAAAGTAATTTTAAACTATTAAAATTAAAGCCACATTCAATATAACAACTATCCCCGGATTTAAAGACGCCTTAAATTTGGGTCTAAGGCGTATCAAATCAATTCCTTAATACTGTACACTTTCGAAAGATCGTTTAATGAACATAGAGAAGCTGTTATGTTGTAATTCACGTCTTTTTTATTCTTTTTATATTGTTAGTATCTCAAACATTCTTTTTTTCAATTATAATATTTATTGAATAAATTTTACATTTATACTTGATAAATGTCAACAATTTTAATATTTTTATAATATAATATATAATAAAATATAAACTCGAGCAACAAACACATATTTACAACTTGCCTAATTACTATAGATGGACAAATAACTTGTCTACAGGAAATAATTTGTCTTATAAACCTATTAGCATTACAATTTCCCAGTTTTAAGTCACAATTTCCCCAATATTTTATTCAGTTCCATCACCAAATTCGTAATTTGTCTACTTTACAATAATAAACCAAACCAAAAATTATCCCTCTAAAACTCAAAAATAAAATTATAAAAATTGATTTACCAACAACATTAGCATGTTGTTAATGTACACTGTATCAACAGTTTGCTTTGTCTATATTTTAATAGCATTATATACAAGTGTTTATAAACCAACACAACCAAGGATGGCCTTTTACATTATTATTTATAAATGTCGTCCTTATTTTTTATTTAAAATAATATGCAAAAGAAAATTAAGTTAATAATTGGTCTGGTATCGAATTCAAATAATGACGGACAGTCACATTGAGTCAGTGGATACAAAGTGAGACATCATCGAAAAGAAGGCTCATAAAGACGCACTCTAACAGTCTATTAGTGCACCCGTTTCACACTTTCCAGTCCTCTTTCGGCGCGGATCCCTTCTGACCCCCTTCCCCTGTTAGCGGGGTGGAACTACATCCGCGACCACACAGTACGGACAATGAATATGTTGACATGGGAAGCACAAACGTTCGCAAAGAGGTGGACTTTATTAAAAAGTATTTGGGTAAATACTTTACTCTGAAAATTGGAATGAGGGTCGGAAAGAATAGTCACAGTAGAAACACTTTTAATGCGCAATTATTAATTCAATTAATATCATACTTTTGTTCAACATAATTTTTCCTGACTGTTGTTTATTGAATCTTCGTAAGTGTCACTTGTATCATCAATCATATCAATGCTTGTTTTTTATTAATGTTTCAGAATATGGTGTGTTAATTTTTTATTTTTCATCCATAACACTGTAATATCCCGTTTTATATTTTAATAATAAATGTGTCACGAACAAAAAATGGTTATTTTTATGGATAAGTTCAAAGTAATGTTTTAAAATAAATGTTATTAAAAAAACCTGATCTGAATAAATCTAATAAATATTTTGAGTATAATAAAATTTAATAAATTTTAATATTTAAAGGTGAAGACAAATTATTCCCCATACTGTAATAATATTAAAACGGTTTAAACTCGTTTTTACTCTTCTTAATATTTTTAACTTTTGGTAAAAAAAATAAAAACAACTTTACATTATGTATAAAACAGAAAAAAACTATAACATGTAAAAGTAATTTGAAATTAAAAACGTATTATTATGATATTTCGTTTTCAATTTTATGACCATAATAAACAAAAATCAATTAATTGAAGAAATAATATTAAATAATCACAATCTTAATTATCATTTATACAATCCATTTTGTTTATCTGCTATTTTGTATCGGAAATAAATTGCAACCCGTTTTTTGAACAAACTTGTATTCAATTTTAAATACCAGACAATACAAAATTAAATTGCCTTTGAATCTGTTCAATTAATAACAAAATTATACATTTAACAAATTTAAAAATTTTTTAACTATAAAATAGCCAAAATAAATCATTCTTGTTGACAACATTTTAAATTTGTTATACAAACAATTTTAAAGTTGTTTTTGTTGTGGTTATAACAAAAACTATAATAACTTTAAAAAGTTTGTCGAAATAATTATCAAAAATTATAAAAAATGGTGTGTTAACATTTTTAACTTCGAAAACCTTAAAAATAAATTTAATTTAAATAATAATAAAATATAATATTTTTATTAAACATTTAATTGAAAATTTTAATATTCAACTAAAAACTAGTTTTTTAAAAGTAATTATTTTGAAGTTATTTCGTTGACAATACAAATTCGTTATATTTAAACGACTGAAAATACAAATTAAATCATTAAATGTTATCGTTTATTTTATTTGCTTTCATTCTGGGTTCTACGAAGGCGGAAGTATGTTATCAAATCGACACGGTTAACAATTGTGTTAAAGATGGGACAACTCCTTGTTCAAACGTAGTGACAATCGAAACAACAGCACCAAATAAAATATGCGAAAATGGGTTTAAAAATAATCAGGAAATAACCAGTATAATTTATCAAGGAACTAATATGTTGACTATCAAAGCATCTGCATTTGAAGGCGCTACAAAACTCACTTCAATAAGTGCAAATAATGGAATTGAAGATTTGGAAATATCAGCATTTAAAGAATGCACTTCTTTGACAACAATAGATCTGAGTCACGTTATTATTATACCAGCAAGTTGTTTTGAAGGATGTACTTCACTTAAAACAGTGACTTCAATGGAAAATGTTCAATATTTCAACAACTTCGCTTTTTTCGACAGTGGTTTGGAATCTTTGTCTTTTGGAGAAAACGTTAAAAAGATTGGTAATTATGTGTTTAAAAACACCAAACTGGAAAGTGTTAATCTTCCAAAAAGTAATCCATCTGATGGGTTTGGTACGAATGTTTTCGAAAACTGTGCAAATTTAACAACTGTAGATTTTAAAGGAGTTACTATAGTACCAGAATACACATTTAGTGGATGTGTTAAGCTCACAACATTAACTAATATTGATAAAGTGACTCACTTCAAAGAAAAAAGTTTTTACATTTCGAAATTATCTTCTATCACTTTTGGTTCAAGTGTGGCTGAATTGGGTTCTGATGCATTTTCATTGACTCAGTTGTCTTCAGTAACTTTGCCAGATCAAATTGAGTCGTTTGGAATTGGAGTATTTGAAACATGTATATCATTAAAGGAAGTAACTATTAATAAAAATTTGAACATTCCAAATAGAACATTTTTTGGTGATACATTTTTGGTTACAGTGAATGGATTTGATAAAATCACATCTTTTGGTTCTGAGTCGTTTAGACATGTTGGATTGAAAGAAATTAGATTCGGAAATGCAGTGACTAAATTGGCTGGAAATGCATTTGCTCAAACAAAACTTGAGAAAATTACTTTTGGTAATGAACAAATAGATGATTTTGAACCTGGAGCTTTCCAAGATATGGTTTCGCTTACTACTGTTACTTTAAAAGGAACAACAAAAATTCCAGATAACACTTTCAAAGGATGCACTTTACTCGAACACATCAGTGACTTTAGTGTTATCACTTCATTTGGACAATTTTCATTTGAAAAAACAAAAATATCTTTAATACTTTTTGGTGATGATGTGACTCAAATCAAAGATGGTGCATTTAAAGAAATAACTTCAAAAATGGTCACTTTACCTTCTTCGACTATTACCGATTTCGGAAAAGGCGTTTTTGAAAATGCCGTCTCTCTTCATACAGTAGACCTTGGTGGTACTATATCAATTCCTGAATCAACATTCAAAGGCTGCACATCACTTGAAGTGGTCATGAGTTTCGATAAAATTAAAGAATTTGGAATTGCTTCTTTTGAACAAACAAGAATTCCAACAATAACTTTTGGCAATTCAATAACCAAATTGGGAAATGGAGCTTTTAAATCTGTCAAGTCGACTGCAATGACTTTCCCCTCAACTCAAATTCTTGAGTTTGGAACAAATGTATTTGAAAATGCAAATGAACTTAAAGATGTCGATCTCAATGGACAATTAGCAATTGCAGACTTTACATTTAAAGGGTGTTCATCAATAAAAGATATTAAAAATATCGACAAAGTTGAAACAATAGGAATATCCTCGTTTGAAAGTACCGGACTTACAAATGTTTATTTTTCAACTGCTCTTAAAAAACTTGGTGATGGTGCTTTTAAGAATACAAGACTCACTGAATTGACACTACCTAATATCGAAATTTTGGAACTTGGAGAAGGTGTTTTTGCTAATGTAACAACTTTTAAAAAGGCCATATTAGGAGGCACAACCAAAATACCAAAGGACACTTTTAAAGGATGTATTCTTTTAAATGAAGTGGATGGATTCGAAAAGGTAACTTATTATGGAGATAACTGTTTTGAGAGTGCTGTAATTCAAAATGTCACTTTTGCTGAAAACGTAGATAAACTTGGATCCAATGCATTTGAAGGAAATTCAATGACACACATTCAGTTGCCGCATAAACCCATTAAAGATTTTGGAGAAAATGTATTTAAAAACTGCCTTAATTTGGTATCAATTGATTTTGGAGGAAATACTGTCATACCACCTGGAACCTTAAAAAGGTGTGATGTATTAACATTGGTGTCGGGGACCGAAAATGTCAAATTGATTGGAAAAGACGCTTTTAAACAAACCAATAAATTACAGTCGCTTAATTTATATGGAAAATTGGAGACTTTATTAGACCCGTTGGAATCACAAAGTAACTTGTTTTATCATGGAAATGAGGTGCCAAAAACACTGCCAAGTGATCCATTATTAAAGGCGGATTTAAGAATTTTTGTGACTGAAAAGTTCAAAGCCAATAAATTTGGAGATAATGTTGTGATGAAATTGAACTGCTCAATAACACAATTTATTGATGTCTCAGAACCAAACCCAATGTGTAAAAACTGTGAAGAAATGAAAGCTACATTGGATGGAGATAATTACTATTGCGACTTGGATATGACTGAATGTCTCTCAACTCATCAAAAGTGTCAAATTTGTATTGAAGGAAAGTGTCAAAAATGCGAAGAAAAGTTGTTTGTTGACACAGTTAAAGATGTTTGTGTTTCTGAATGTCCTAATGGGTATTATGATGGAACTGTTATTTGCGAGAAATGTAAAGAACACTATGAAAAGCCATGTAAAGACGAAGAATGCGAAAAGTGTACAGGTGGTGTTGGAGGCATAGTTATTGCAGCACTTGTTGCAATTTTATTATTTATGTTCTAAGTAACATTTTTTGAAAGTTAGAATGGTTTATAATAATACATATAAATTCAACAAATATAATAATTGATGAATACATTATTTATTACTTTTTTCAATGATTGAATTTATGTTTATTTTATTTTGTAGTATCAAACAACAAATTTTAAATTGGAATTATTACAGTAAATTTAATGAAAAATAAAAGAACATATCAAGTTTTAATATTTATTAATTATTATTAACTTTGTGTGTCTAAATAACATGCTTTTAATATAAAAGAAGTTGAAAATAAACCTTACTCAGTTTTGGCAAAACACATTACAAAAGGTTATTCGGTTCAAATTAAAAACAGGGATAAATCTTCATTTGAAGAAAATTTGTGAAAATAGCTTGTATTGAAAGTATGGTTATTGTAAATAATCTAAAAATTGATTGAAATAAATAATAATTATTAATTGAATTAATAGATGTTATGTATTTGTTTGATGTAAAAAGACAATTTTTATCAAAAATAACAATTAATGTTTTATTACTAAAATTCTATAATAATAATACAGTAATTACTTTAATACATATTGTATAAAATAAAAATAAAGTGAACATAATGTTAAATGTTTACTTGATAAAAATACCATTTTGTGACTTGTTTTTTATATTTTATGTATAATTTACCAATAAATCTATTTTTTTACTATATTTAGTTAAATATTAAAAATAAGCTAAACATTCTGAGACTAGTACATCAAAATTATTAAAAATGGGCATTTTTAATTACCTATATTTGACTTTTCTCAATATGTTTCATTTTTATGCAATATAGAGTGGATAATTAATAAAATAACAATTGTAATCGTTATATCAATGTATCCATTTGTTTTTTTGTGTCTTTCCAAATTATAATTAAATATTACATGTTTTGTGTTTTATTTATATAATCAGACAAACATATTATAACAATAATTAATCATAAAGTTATTATAATATTTAGAAATACACCCATTTTGAAATGATATCGTAACATCCAAATATATAACTAACTTATCAGTTAATTTTGTTTTATTTGATATTTGATAAGCAACTAAAAATAATATATAATATATTTTTAATTTTAAAAATAAAAACGTTAGTAAAATGATAGAATAAAGTTTCTGTAATTGTTATAAAAATAGTAACTTTCATTTGAAAAACAAAAAATTAATATGATAATCATATAAAACAATTCTATAAACCCCATGTATTTCAACAAAAATTTACAATTAAAATGTGTTTTAAATTTGTTAATAAAATAATTTTAAATTATTACACATCTACATATGTTTTATCTTTTTAATACTAGACGTTATTGTAATATTCTGGATGTAATTAAAATGCTATACGTGTTTTATTTAAATTATTTGAATTATAATTTTTATAACATATTTATATATTATCATTTTTATAGTAATTACAATACATGTTGTTATTAAAAAATAATTAATAAGATTACTGAAATAATATTATAACATAACATTTGATTTTCGATCAAAAATAAATTGAAATAATTATTGTTTCTTTTAATTGTTTTAGTTTGTGTTTTAGTATAAATATATTATAGTAAATATAAGGTGTTAATTATATTTTAAAAGCGTGTATGGTTTATTTTTGGAAACATTATACAAAATAAACCAATTTGTATGAATTATTTTTAAAACTTGACACTATTTTTTGAAAAAAACATATAATCTAAACATAAAATGCAACAAGGTATATTGAAGAAATTAGCTATATTTATTTGTTATTTTAATTTATCCACAAAAATTGCAAGAGCTATATGCCCAACAAAAGTAGTAAATAATTCCATGACGCAATCAGAAACATGTAACATCAGCAACAATTTGAAATTGACAAGTGATTTACAAACACAAACTGTATTCACAATGGTTGGCAATTCAAATCTCCACATTGATGGTGGGTTATCATGTGAACAAAATTCAGTTTTTGCAGTCAGAGATTCATCAACTCTTTCTACAACAAATGACATAATTTTAAAAGATCAGTCGCAATTCAATTTGTTTGATGATGTGGATTTAAAAACTAATAATGTTATACAATACAATGAATCATTTTTATCTGTTTCAGATTATCATATTACCCGATTTGATTTAAATACCATATATTTATTCAACAATTCGACATTTAAAATTAAAACAAAATTTCAGATTGATAGTCATTTTAAATTAAGAATTTTTGACAATGCTATTTTTGAGATGGAACAAGGCACTGAATTATTTAATTTAGAAGATATTGATATAAATATTAAAGGAAGTGTAAAACTGGATTCTATACACAACATGTCATTTTTAAATTCGTTTCATAATTCTTCATTGTTTTTAAACCAATATGCCACAATTGAAAAAATTCACGGATTACCATTTAAACAATACGCCTATTTTCAAATGGGTGTTTTTTCAAAAATAAAAAGTTTAGATAATTTAGAATTAAAAGAATATTCAAAATTCGATATGTTAAACAATTCAATAATTGAAGAAGCGGATCGTTTTTATTTAGAAATAAACACGGTCTTTACAATGTACAATTATTCATCTATGTTGAATTTGAATAATTTGTCAATGACTGGAAATTCCAATTTTTTATTATTAGAAAATTCTTTTGTAAATACCATACAAAACTTTGAATTAAATAGAAATAGCAATTGTCAAATGTTTTCCCAATCAAAATTTAATTTTGTGTCCAATATGATCATCAGAGGTTACTCAACTTTTGTTATGAATTCAAGCGAAATAACTCAAGTTCAAAATTACATTAAAATAAGTGGCAGTGCGTTGTTTGTAATGTACAATGATTCAATAATAAGAAATGTCACACAAATTCAAATCAACAATTATAATAACAAATTTGAAATGAATAATAGTTCCTTTTTAAATACCTCCAATTTTGAAATCACAGACGGAACTTTTGTGTTAAATATAGATGGCGATAGAAACAGTGTTAACAGCACTAACTTTTTATGTGAAAACAATGGTAAATTTGAAGTGACAAACACTTCTTATATTACAATTCAAGATACTTTGATATTGGATTCGTGTAATTTAAAAACAGCGAATAGAACCATCAGAGATTTGCCAATATTTTTCACTTATCAAATAAATTCAACCGATTTTTCCTTTCAAAGTTTGTCAGAAGTCTATTTAGCAATTTCAGTAAATCCAATTCAAACAACACTTCCACAAAACACAAAACTGCTCTTTGGTAATCATTTGTTAAGACTTGGAACTTCAAACAAAGTGTTTTGCCATTTGAAAACCATTGATGGTGATTATAGTGAGCCATACTGTCCTTGTGATTCAGTTAATTGTTATATCACACCACTCAAAAATATAACTATTTTTAATTTAATCGTTGATACAGTAACAAATCCACATCAAAAATTCGGCGAAGTCGAAGAAGAACTTGACATTGAAAGTGTTGCAATTGGAAATAAAAAAGTCTCCTTTTTTAAGACAGACAACTTTATTCTTGGTGTAAATTCACAGATTGATAAGTTGATCACAAACATTTCATCTCTAACAAAAACTATTCTTATGATTTCAAATCAAAGTTTTGTATTTCAAAAAGTTGTTTCAAAAGCAATTTATACAACTCAAAAAAAACCAAATTTTTAATTTATCCAACATGTGAAAATGGAGGTATTTTCAACACAACAATGTGACAATTGTTTGGATTCAATTTGTATTGACTGTTCTTACAATTCAAAAAAATGTTTAAGATGTCAACAGGAATATTATATTACCAATGACAGTAAATGCGTTGAAATACCGAACTGTTTGTTGAAACGATCAAATCGATGTCTAAAATGTTCAAATGGGTATTTACTTTCTGAGAATCACTGTCAAAATACATCATCTTGTCTGATTCAAACTTTAAATGGTACATGTCAAATTTGTGGTATAGACAAATTATATATAATTGACAATGGTAGTTGTAAAATTCCTGATACCAATTCCATAATAGTTAATCAAAATAATATAATTGCTTGTAAAAGTGCGTATATAACAAATTCCAACATTTGTCAAAAGTGCTCTGATCTCTACAAATCAAGTGAAGTGTGTGAAAATGGTCGTCCCACAAAATGTGAAATTGAATTTGAAATGAATAAATCTGGACAATGTGAACACAATAACTGTTCTGATCCAAATGATGAAAACGGAAGATGTACTTCATTTATCAACAAGTGCACTTTCATTACAAATTCAAAGTGTTTGGAGTGTTATAATAATTTGATTTTAAACAATGCAGAATGTCATACAAATGACGATTCACAATGCACAAATCAGAGTTTGGTTTCTTGTTTGCGATGTAACGACTCTTATTGTTTTAATTCATCATCCAACAGATGTGAAAGATGCGATTCAAATTGTTTGACTTGTGTCATAAATCCGACTTATTGTCTTTCATGTCCATTGGGATTTTACATTTCAAATAATATTTGCAAAACAAATTCTGAATTGGTGGGAATTTGCACACAATTTATATCATCTGGTGGATGTGCCAAATGCGCTGAAGGTTATTACAGAAACGGGTTGGACTGTTATAAATGTGATCTTTCATGTTCATTGTGCAATACAAATTCGACATGTTTGACTTGTAATTCAACAAATTACAAAACATGGAGTGGAGACTGTAAACCACAAAATAGTTTAATAGGATGTGATGTGAATGTCACACAATATGGATGCACGCGATGTAAAGAAGGGTATTTTCAAGTGAATATAAATGAATGCAAAAATTGTAATACAACATGTCTAACATGTTCGTCTCAAAGAAGTTGCGAATCGTGTTTATCATCGAAGGTCTTATTTTCAAGTGGAATATGTGTGACACTTTCTCAAATAACAAAGTGTAAAGAAATAAAAAATTCAAAATGCAACAAATGTTCATTCTGGTATGCACCAAGTTTAGATGGGACTTATTGTGAAAAGAAAATAGTATTGTGGGTTGTACTTGTTATAGTTCTATTTATTATTTTTGTATTATCAATTCTTGTTATAGCATTAATATTTTCCATGAAGAGAATTTTAAAAATGATTCACACAAAGGAGTTAAAAAGAACAACAACTATATTCGAAATGGAGAAATCAAATGTAAAATTCATTTCACTTGCAAACAACATTTGCGTTTCTTCAAAAGAACTCAATTTCAATTCTGAAGTAGAAGAAATTCCTGTCAACACAGAAACAAAAATTGTGTTTTGTGTGGGCAATATGTCCAAAGGCGTCTTGAAAATTCAATTCACAACTACAACACAAATTGACAAATTTACGATAAGAGTAACACCAGAAGTCATCATGTTAAAAAAGAAATTTGCATGTGAATTTTCGATATATTCGAAACCCAAATGCACGTGTCAGATAAATAACACCATTTGCATAGTCTCAAAAAATCTCAAAACAAACGTCGAAAATATTAACGAAATTGTAATGAAAGGAATTACTAGTCATTCTACAAGAATAGATTATGACGAGTTGCTTGAAGAATCAAAATTGGGTGAAGGATCTTTTGGTGTTGTTTACAAAGGAAAATACAGAGGAAACGATGTTGCTATTAAAAAAATGAAACAAAAAGAAGATGGCAAAACTGATAGTGGAGACAAATCAGATGATGAGTTTGAAAAAGAAGTTGCAATGCTTGATAAATTCAGGTGTGATTATATAATCCATTTTTATGGTGCCGTGTTTATACCAAATAAAATGTGTATGGTAACCGAATTTGCATTGTTTGGTTCATTACAAGATTTAATGAAACATAAAAATAGAGAAAAAATTGAAATGAAACTTCGAATAAAATTGATGTTAGATACATTAAATGGTATAATTTATTTACACACAAATGGGATATTACACAGAGACATCAAACCAGACAACATACTTGTTATTTCAATTGATTTTGACAACAATGTAAATGCCAAACTGACTGATTTTGGAAGTGCAAGAAATGTTAACTTGCTAATGACTAACATGACATTCACAAAGGGAATTGGTACACCAGTCTACATGGCGCCCGAAATGTTAAAACGAGAAAATTACAAGAAACCTGCTGATATATACTCTTTAGCTATAACCATGTTCGAGTGTTTTTCATGGAGTTATGCATATTCTAAAGATAAATTTAAATTTCCTTGGTCAACTGCAGAGTTTGTTATAAAAGGGTCACGATTACCAAAGCCAGATGATATGAATCAAAATATAAACGATATTATCTGTGGTTGTTGGAAAAATGAACCTTCAAAAAGAAGTTCTTTGGAAAACGTCAAATATGAGCTTGAAACGATATTTAATCACATTTAATAATATTTTTTAATTTTTCAAATTAAGTTGATTAAAAAATCAATAAATTTAAAATATATAAAAAAACAAAAAAAACAAAAAAAAACAAAAAAAAACAAAAATAAACAAAATTAAAAGTCGTCACATAGCTTTTTTTACTTTTACTGTCACTATTTTATTTCTTTTATTTCTTATTTTTCAACTTAAACGGTCAAATTATTTTAGTTTAGTTTTATGATAAATGAAATTGACATAAGAAGGTTTTTTATATCAAGCTAAATATGAGAATTTAGCGTATTTTTAATAAATTCAGCAGTAAATTTAAAGTTAAGACAAAAAAGGCTTCTATAGACAATATTCATTCTGTTACATTTTCAACTTTATTAAAATATAGTTTTCTCTGATATATGTTTTGATAATGAGAAAAATTCAAAATCAGTTGTTGTTAACGACTCAGAGTTGTTAGTATCCATAGTTTCAAGTTTAACATCCAATGTAATTGTATTGTATTTTGAATGATAACCGAAAAAAATATCTATTATCACTATTGAATGTAAAAATACTAATAATATTAATTTTAACTTTTGGTTGTTGTTTGCTGTCGAAAAAAAGTTGATTCGAACACAAAAGATTATTTGCACAGTCATTATAATACTTTGACGCACTAATTATATCCGTTGTAATTTGATTCAAAATTGTCGATTTGAGTGCTCCAAATTTGGTTAACGGTTAACCTAACAAACCTTGTTTTTATGCCTTTTTTATATCAGCATTGTCAAAGATTTAATTGATAATCCATACGCTATATTGGTTGTTGTTAGATCGGTTGATGATATCAGACTCTGCATTTGTAATCGAGTGGTTTTACTTAAAGAAATTATCAAAATTATTGACCTCAAGTATTGCATTAATGTTGTGATCAATCACAAATGTTTTGAAATTGATATTTTGTACTTAAATTTGACATTTCACAAATTTCTTCAGAATGAAAGACATCACACGGACAGTTGATAGTTAAAAACTGTTTGTCATAGTCATCTGTTTTTGTTGTTAAATAACAAATAAGATCGTCTGAATCTGCGCATTCGTTGGTTCTGCTAGTTTATTTGGAGTTGAGTGTGACTACCTTTGTATGAACAAGATTTGTTGAATCCAAAAGAACAACATCAAAACACTGAGATGGTGCATTTGAAATATTTGTGACAGTTGATTTATGTTTGGTATTTTTGGTTGTTAACAAACAAACAAACAAATGCAATTGGTGTCAAAATAATAATCATTACATGATTAGTGATCATAATTTTATGTATCTATTTGAATTAAATTCATTATTTCAAAAATTACTATATTTAGTATTACTTGTTGTTCAAGTCAAATAAAGTAAATTCAATTTTTTAAGTTGATGTAAAAGTGTGTTTACTGGTATCTAAAAATAATAATTTAATGTGTTTTTTTGTTTGTTTGTTTGTTTTTTTGTTTGTTTGTTTGTTTGTTTGTTTGTTTGTTTGTTTGTTTTAAGTCCTATTTTTGTGTAAATAATACAAAACATACAAAAAAATCATAGTTACAATCAGACTCGTCATATTAATTACCATTAAATTATATTTAGCAATAACTATATTAATCTTGTAATACTATAAATATGTCTGTGCCTCATTATGTGTTAGATGCATCGATGCCTTTGACGTATGTGAAACATTCTTAAAAAATAAAACGATTTGTACTTCTAATGATCAGTCTTCAGCATAACACCACTTGTAATTGTATCAAACAGTCTTCAACATACATTATTTATAATGTATTTTTAATTTATAATTGTTTAAATATCATTTTTATCTCTTTTTCTCTTTATCATTATACAAATTTTTTAATTATTTTTATTATTTTTATTTTATATTTATATAAAATAATTTAAAATTTTATTAGTCAATTTTGTTAAAAAATTTGTGGAAAAAACATAATTTCACAATACGGTTATATATTTCAAATTAATTAATATTTATATTTAGTTGTTTCCAATAATAATAACATTAGTATAAATAATAAATAGAACAAAAAATTTGAAAAATTGTTGATATTTTTTAGTTAAAAATTATAAATAATGATTTAAATATTAGGTTTCAAACTTTAAAACGCCAACATACCTAATCCCCAACAAACCAATACTGTTAAAAAGAGCAGTGTTTTTGTTTTTTTGAAAAAAAATATATTATACAGTGTAGTTCAATTATAGTAAAATGAAAATGGAATAACGAGTTCAAATTGTGAACTAAAAACAAATAAAATGTGAAAAAAAATGAAAAAAATATAAAATTTCATGACAAAAAAGTAAAAAATGGCAAAATAAGAATACTGGTAAAATGTAATAACATTTATTCCGAATCAAATAAATATGTTTTTTATACACCAAACAAAAAAATGGTTTTGAGTTGAAACGAAATACAAATTGCAAAAGTACCATCAACACATCAGTGATAATTAAAAAATAAACAAAATTTGTGTACACACAACAGTCTTTATAAAAAATATAAACTTTTCAAAAAATCCATTATATTAACTGTGTGTTTTTTTCAGACAGTACGATGTAGCAAGATTTTTTGACTGTTTTTTTCTCTATAATATATTTTTATCATCTTTTAGTATTTACAATAAAGTGACTAATCTCTTGAAGAGTGTTTATCAAAAGAAATTAAAATATAACAAGCAATCATTAAAAACAGTTTTTAGTGTTAAATATATATTGTTTTTAAAACGATTACCCTTCATTACATATATCCACATATTTTTATATTGTTGTCTGACTTTTTGTCTAATACATGGACTGTTTAACCAATTGTTTGTTAACAACTTTTGACAGGTTGATGCATACAATTACATATTTTTAATAATCTATTGAAAAGAGTGTTTAAAATGAATAAGGAAACCATAACTCTATTTTTTATTTTTCAAACAACAAAAAATCAAACTTCTTTGTTTATCAATGCTATTTTATTGATTTATTTGGTATATATTTTTAATTTTTGTTGTTTTTTACATTATTAGTAATTTATCTTTTTATTGTCAATTAAAATTTTTAAAATATTATTATTATTTATATTTGGGTTGCTTAATAATGAATTGCAGAAACATCACTGTCTGCAAAAGCGATGTATAATGGATTCGTTTTATCGTTATTATATTTTACAACTATTTCGACTTTATCATTTCACTATGACACAGAAGCACGTTACTCAATGTTAATATCAATTACAAATATTAATTTGCGTCATTCAGTGAACACAACCAATTTTATTTTTTATATTACGACTATTATAATTTATTTGTTTTGTCAAATAAGAAATGGCAATTTTCAAGTTGGTTATGTGTACTTTTATCATTGTCTTTAGATTTTATGAATAATTTTCTCGGAGTTGGCATATAATAGTCTGTCTCGATAAGATTAACTATATTTTATTATAAATAACCATTTTTATTAATTATTGTTTGTATTTTTATATTATTAAAATTTATATAACTTTCGAGCAGGACACAAATTCAATTTAGATATTGAGACGCCTTTTTGAAATTAAATACAGAAATCGAATATTTTAAAACTATAAGCTACTACCATAATCAATCTCAGTTGATTTTACACATTGACACTTTCACATTGAGATTGATTCAATTCAAAACTGGATTGAATGAATGACACATTAAATATTCGCTGCGTTTTTGGGGTTTCTTTAATATATTTAAAAGTCATAATTTTTGTTATAAATAAATTGTTTCAAAATGCTTCATTTAAGTTTTTTATTGTTAAATTGTGTTGTATTTATTAAATAATAAATCAAATGATTAATTTGATAACTTTCAAATTTGCTTTCTTTTATATTTGCCAAACATTATTTTCAATTACAAAATCAAACATCAAGTGGTCGCAATTGACTGTTTATGGAGTAATACAACCATAACAACAATACTATATTACGTATTCGAAACGTCAATTTTATTAACGGGAATATTAAAAAATTCAACCATTGTTTGGTTTTACAAGTATTTTTAATTATTTTTTGTTTTAATTAATGTTTTTAAAATAATATAAATTGTTTTTTGAATTTATAACAATAAATATTATATTTTACTATAATTTGCTAAAGCCGACCTTTTCCACCAACTCTTTATTATTTTGGTTGTATTTTTTGTTCTGTTTTGCTTTTAAATTTTTAAAAAAAAATAAATGCACAAAACGATTTTTTGGTATGAAAAATAAAAATAATTCGATTATGATAATTTTATATTATTTGTTTTTATCTATTTATTTAGGAAAATCACCTAATAAAATATCAAAATTATTTAAACAGTTTTGGGACAAATTTTTAAAAAACTGTCAAAAAGAGCAGTATTGGGTTGTCGGCGAGTTAATCAAATGATCTTGAAAAAGAAATAATGGCATTTTATCTTTTTGGATAAAATAAATAATCCTATTCACAAAAAAATATTTTTGCTCAATTTGATGAAAATAATCATAAAAATTAAGAAATATGCTGTTTTGGGAAAGTTTTTGATTAATATGCTCAAAACTGCACTTTATTCCGTCCTTCAAATAATAAGACCAAAAGTATTATGTAAAACTAATTATTACCAGAATAAAAATTTAAATATTTAAACCAAAAACCAAAGAAAAATAAAACAAATAAGTTTTTGAGAAAAAAATTTGATTGAATGGCATAAATAAATAAAAGGGAAAATGTTATTGGAATTAAGTAAAAAATGTCGTCATTTCATTATGTGTTAGAACATAACATATAATTTAACTTGTTTAAACCTTAAAGTAATCACTGTTTCATTGTATTCATCAAACACGAATAGGTGTATAAAAAACACAAAAAAGTTTTTATATGTTTTTCATTTTAAATATCATCAATATTATAACCAAAATATAAAATAAAGCGACTTGAAATCTCTTCACAAATTAATTTATATAAAAATTCGTTGTTTTATTATATGAAAATTAAAAAATATAAATTGACATTATAAGGTTG